CTCTGTATAATTTTCGGTGGTCAAAGCTGCAAATAGACAGCCACGCATGTTGGGAGAAGTCTGATGAATTATTACTGATTTACTGACTTAACAGGTAGTCTCCAAAGATGTTTAAAGCATAAACAGTTTTCGTACGTGATCGATAGATCTCGTTCGTAGAATGAAATTTGTTAAAAATAACGCCTCATCTTCATTTTTATAAACAGTTGTTTTACTCATTTTTAAAAATCTGTCCCGAAAATTGTAACCGCTACGTTTCTTAATCTTACCGAACTTCACTGCAATCCATTCTCCAGGCACATTAAAACTTTAATTATATTATATTTCTTTCAGGAAATTAACCTCCTATTTCGCAAACCTCTACAAATTAGTATCTGGTCCCACACCACAAATTATTAACATTTCTTCTCGGTTTCCAATTATTGCTTAGAAAACAGCGAGGTGCATTACAGTGGCTGATATCAGCGGCGTTCTCCTGTTTGTGCATCATCGCATTCTTCCAAGTACACATTAATATATTGTTAAGTGTCTTATCGTTAATTATTTGTTCGTGGGCTATTATCGTCGTTTAGATTATCGCATTTGTTGCATGATGCGGGAATTTAGATAACTGTAGTTCTGTATCGATGTGGGAAAACTAATACTTGACGCGCGATCGAATCGTAACGAGCTACCCATAAGGGTCGCGGAGGTAGTCTTTGCCACGTCATGCTGAAAAAAAGAACTTTGTCTCAGTATTCATTTTTGTACAGCAGTTCAAGTCGTGTAGTTGAGTCCACAGTATGAGATAGGTGAAGATTTTGTTTGTGTTTCAAGATTTAGTTGTTGTTTGTATTTTATTCAAGTGATTCACTCGTTGGTGTAAAATGCGTTTTTCATGACTTGCAGAATCGTCATTTCCAACAACTGTCACGTAACCCACACACAAAGTTGTTTGCCCATATTTGTACTTTATTGCATTAAGGCAACAATTTTCTGAAACAGTTTCTTAAAAGACGACGTCAGATTCAGAACTTATCTCGCGACGAATTTCAAAATGAATATACCTCCCACATTCTATGATTATCATGTCATTTTGTGTATCTTGTTCACGCTGTTAATTTGTTTTCCTTATTTTGTATGCAGGGATATAGAATAGCTGTTTACGGGAGGGTTGAACTCCTCCCAGAAGAATTAAAAAGATAGATATTACCCTAAATGTATTTTTGATAAATTTTTGAAGTAAAATCGGTTTATATATACCATTATGCACCAGCTTAATCACATTTTCTTTTCCAGAGTTTTACTTAAAGTGTGCCAAAATAATTAAATTGATTATTTCCATACGTCACATTTTGATAAACTCTTATTAACGCCTTGTGGGACTACATTAGATAATAACAGGACATACAGAATTGTTCTATTTCAATGGCGAACCTACAGCCTTTTAAAATTAAAAATTGTTGTTATTTTTCAAGTAAATTAGTGAAATAATTAATTCCATGTTATTCGACTTATTTTACAGAGCAAAATGACACCAAACAACATGTCGATTGATTGATTTTTGTGGGCTAAACTTCCACGGGGAGCGCGCGAGCAAAAATTTGCATTTCAATTTACACTCCTAATTCACCAGCTTATCGGCATGTTGTTTGGTATAATTTTGTTAAAAAGAACGAGGAGAATATTATGGCGTTACTTACTTCACTCATAAATTTCTCGCACATTTAAAGTTCGGTGACATCAATTTATCAAAACAAATGCCTTATTTTTAGTGTTTATTTGCTGGTAGGAACTAAAAAACTAACGGAACAGCTTTACAGAAGAATGAAAATGTCCACCACCATCTCGAAGACTTCCTGTGTCCCGAAATTTTATAACAATTATGCTATGATATAATTATTGCGGATAATATTAAAATGTATCCCAAGGAAATAAGCTAAATGTTTGGTGTCTTTGCTTGATTAAGCACCACGCCATGTTGACTTATGCGGTATTGGAAGTACAGCTTCATGTATTTTTTAACGTCGTAATTAATGAAGATGAATGATCAGCTTTACGCTTCTGTCGCCTTGACCCGGGACAGCTCTCGATACACCCCTTTCGCCCCCCCCCCCCAGTAGCCAGAAGTTGCGAAAATTTCGATATGAGACCACTTATCAGTTACAATTAATGGGGTCGCGTGTTACACACGTGCAATACACGTTTAGACTGTTGTTGCGATGAGGTAAAATATGTAAGATTTGAGGTTTTCACAGCGGTGAGTATGAAGATTTCCGTCTTCTGGGTTGTTGCGCTGTGTAGTCTGGTCGATGTTTACCAACGTTTCGGAGGTCATACTGCCTCCATTATCAGGGCGCCCTGATGACGGAGGCAGTATGACCTCTGAAACGTTGGTTAACATCGACCAGACTACACAGCGCAACAAACCAGCAGACGTGAAATATCTCTGTGGAACAGGGCTATTAACGGGCTCAAATGCGTTTAGATTATCAGCTTTAAACAGTTAGACGTTGGCAACCCTGTGTGAGCCCGTGGGACCAGGTGAAACTACTGCATCCGGAAAAAATCAGCAATTCATTCGTCCTTGACAGAAACCTTCTAGCAGCAACTGTCGTGAACTGAATGGATGGTGATTTCGTAACCTGGTTTCCGCCCCAGCTTTGCACAACAAGTCATGTCGTTTCATATCAAATTATTAGACTGTTTATAACCCAACTTTCCTTTGAATGTTTCAGTGTTTTTGGCGAGACTAGCAGGAATCATAAATTAATCATTTTCCAATTCAGTGATCCATGTTGTGCTTAATTTGCCCTAGTAAGTTTCTAACTACATTAAACCTGCCAGATGAATTCCCAAAGTTCCGCACAGTCGATATATTTAGAACCACAGGATACGTTTTAACTGTTGACATGAAAAGAACTTTTGTACAAAGTGCAGATGTGATCCATCTGCATAAAATATATATCACTTGCCTGTTTCCAATTAGGCTATTCATTATTGCAATCAAACCACAAGGTCCTATATTTCGTGCAAGTGCCATGTTCGCACACTTTTTAAATTGTGTATAAAACAAAAGAAACCTCAACTAATGTTACATAGTTTACATTTATTGGTGCCCTTTATTGGTTCCCTTAAAATGAATTCTCACTGTTGCTGGTGACATGTTAATAATATTGATGGTGGGAAATTACAAATATAACGCGCCATGAATGCCTACTCATTTTTGACGTCGGTAGCCTACTAGGAGGAGTGAAGCAGTTTCTATTATTTCAGTTTCCTCGACATGTTTGCAGTGCCGCCATTTAATATTGTGTTGCCAAGGAACTTCCTTCAAAACCTGTACGTCAATAACAGTTTTGGTATGTTATTAATAAAAATAAAATGTAAAAACTACGTATGCCAATATCTTTAGTTGTTACTTTATATTAGGTCTTTCAGTTCATAGCCATTCTCATATTAATGTATATTGAATTAATGTAAAAATTCCTATATTTAATGCTTTGTTAATTGAAATGTAACGTTAGAAATAACTGATGTTATTGTTATTTAACGCGGACTGAACAGGGTTTTGAGATGGTTAAATTGACCCTCGTGTTCACCACCGAACTATACTATACCCTGTCAGGTCAATTAAATTTTGATCCAAATCGATTTTCCAGTGTTGCCAACATATAAAGATGAATGACACTTTTGCGGCCATGGTCACTGATGAAAGCTCTTCACGGCATTCGCTTGTTCCGCATGATTCTAATTTCGCAAAACCAATTTAGCAATGTCGGATCGGTAACCGAGACAATATAATAACGTACAGCGATGCATTTTGAAATACCACCCATGTTTCCGCAACTATCCTCATTGGCCACGCATGAGATTCTTTATAAAAAGAAACTCAAATGTCCATAATCGTGGTCACAAAATTTATTTTGCGTTAAAAATTTATTTATAAGAAGTTAGGCTGGAAAAGTACATTTGTTTGTGTAAGTCCAAGGTGTTATTAACTCGCATAGCTAACTTATGCCCTCAAAATACAAGAAGGGGTTTTGTTTGGTATAGTTATACAATATTCTTCTCCCTTAGTTTTCTAGTAATGTCGGCGTTACAAGAAAGCAAACAGTGAGCTAAATCATACACAGTTTACTGTCGTATTTGGATCTCTCTATCACATCACACGACGTACACAGGTTGAATGTAATAAATGCAAGTTGGGGGGGGGGGGCATAACCGTTATCGACCGGTATGGAGATAACTAATTGTCGAAGTAACGCCATGTGGACGTGTACAATACATAGTTACCATAGACTACCAGCATAAGTAATTACACCCAAAAGACCAATATCAACGTCTTCATTGTTGTGAGAAACTCAGATCTCATACAACTATCTTAAATAACTCCACGGTAGAGAATCTTCCTTGAGAAAATGTATTTGATAGTAACTTTCATCACAGTGTTTACAAAAACCCGCCTATCATGTGTAGTTTGAATCTAATCCACACCTTCGTTTCATTAAGACTCATTTTAATGTTATCCTCCCTTTATGTGTTCCGACCAGAATTGCAAATTTATTTCTCATTTCTTATGTCTTGCCAATGTCACCTTCATTTATTTAATATTCACATTAGTATCAGTTAAAGCGTCCTAGCCTAACAGTGTCTTCAGGAAACAATGAAGAGCTTCATAAATGGTAGGTTTCACGAAAGGTTACAAATTATGAAGCTCCTCTTTGTGTAATTTTCTCTAGTTCCTCGTTACTTATTTGGCTGTACTAACTAAAGTAATTCTATCAAGTTCAAATATGTCCCGGGTAACATTGGTTTGAATTAAGACTAGAACATCGGCTATACTAACGAGGTTCTTCGTGGTTTTATTCACTTCCTTCAGGTTATTATCGTCGCAGATCCTTTGAGTAACTTCACTGCCGCTTTCATTTACAATAACTTATCATTGTCACATTTTAATCGAAGCCAAGTATCTTGTGCAATTGATAGAGCGGAGCGCATTTCACGCGAGATGTACTTACCACAGGCGGCATTACAGGTGAAATCACAAATGCACTGTGGCTGGAAGCATTTGCTTCAGATCTTGAGGAGCGTGTTCATCATAACACCACGTTGCACTGACACTGGCCACGTTGTCTCATTCTACCGCAACATGTGGGAATAATCATTCCTTGGACGTAACAATAAAGGCAGCTGGTTAACTCTGACGTAGGTTAATGGTGTGGAGTGCTCAACCACTCATGACGGCTTCTACCGGCCAATGTTGACTTCCAGTTAATTCTTCATGTTTGTAAAGCTACGCGTGACTCGGCTTCGTTTTTCTTTTTGGTTCCATAGAATGTGCCAGACCACTGTCGGCCCTGGTGTTTAGATTTGAAACGATCCATGCAGCTGACTTTCACAACTTCTTTTTTTGTTTGTGTGCGAAACATCGCATTTTGTTCAACACTGGTCGAAGGTACAGAGCGGTTAAAAATAATGTGGTTAACACTCCTGCTTCGATTTTGGATATCGCTGGTTCGAATCTCGGTCCTTACAAAAGTTTTTTTTTCATGTCAGTCTGTCCACCAGAGTTGGGGCAGTACTATAAAATGTCATGGTCGTTTCCCTCTGCATCCTTCGCAATTCACGTTTCACAATCATTTTCAAAGTTCAAGCTAGGTAACCGATGCGATTGAGAAAGTGTCGTTTAAGAAAGGAAATATTCTGGCAGTTTTAACACCGGTTTTGTACGGATGCGTAATTTGGACTTTTACTGTGGTGATAGAACGGAAACTGAGGAAGCTTGTCCAGCAGTGTAATGGATACAGTTATGTTGCATAACGTGGACTTTTTTTTTACCCAGGACAAATGAAACAGGTGGGGTATGTCGTCCGTGTGTGGGACCAAGAAGAACTACATTTCGTTGGAAGTGTCATGAGGTGAGAGTGAACATGATTGACGATTCTGTTCAGGCGAATTTTGTGGTGACGGCTATGACCATTCGATTTTGTGATAGAGAATATATCGATTAGCTCTGTAACAATCAGCTGCTCAAGGATATCCCAATAAATCGGAGTGTAATTATCTTATTTGACCATATACGACAAACAGTTCACTTATGCTCTTATGTAATGAGTGTAATATACCAATCTGAACCGTAGTAACATTCGCCCAACAACACTTTATGTCATTATGACAGACAGGATGTTTAACTTCAGAACCTCAGAATTATATTTGTATTAATTATATGGGGCTATGAATGCACAGCGTTGAAGAAGAATGAATTCTGGGCTTGAAATTTTAAATACACAGTTATGAGGTTGGCTTAGGTGAATAAAACAGTATAATGGAATTTAACTCCAAGCCATTGAGGTCAGAGGGCACGAAAGGACCACTTTCTATAAATAATTTTGTGTTGTTTGATTATTATTAATTACTAGTACCAGACAAAGGGCAGTTCAAAGTGCTCCAGGTTGGTGGTTGGGGTGAGGCGCTAGCTGCCCTTCGCTTGTGAAAATCTTTACAGTTACTGAAAGAAATTTACCCACAAAAGCAAATTTACCGAGAGAAGTGGCGTTTAGGGACTGCAGAACATCGAACTGCAGTCCGAGTGAGAGCACAGTAACTGATTGGCTCCCAGAGGGCACGTGACAATAGATTCGCAGAAGCGTCCAAAACTCAGCCGCAATCGAAAGTGTCGCACATTTAAGTTGGAATTCCTGGAAAGAAAGGTGTCTGTGAAGGTAAATCATTGCGTCATATCAGTTTATGGCCGGTAAGTATGGATATTTGTGTGTAGAGGGGGTGTTGTGGAGCAGTTTTTTTAGATATCAATATTATACGAGGCACGCCTTATGACGCATTGCTTTCCGTGGGTTTCTGTATACCCTGACTTCATTTTTGCAGTTATTTTCTATTTTATGTTGTGTTCATTTTAGATTTAGTGTGCACAACAGAACTGAATGAACGCATAATCAGGAATCATGTGTATGTGTCCGTCTGCATGTTTCTTCATCGAAATTAGGCGGGCGACGAAATATTTGGATTTAAGAAGTGGAAGGGGATCGAGCTTTTGTGCATTCTCATCACTTAAGCCTACAGTTTACACCTTATTTTACATGAAAACCGAAATTAACTTTATCGAATTGATAAAATATGTTTGTCGCGCAGAAAATTAGTATTAAGACGAACTGCAGATAATGTTAAGATTTACAACTCTAATTTGAAACATTTTTCGATTAGATGAGCCTATTAAATGGAATACAGTAATAAATTATCAACGACTACGCAGCGTTGAAAGACGTTTGGGGTTACAATTCTTGCAGCAATGAATTGTGTGAACAAGGCCAGTGTAGTATGTAGGACTATGTAAAACAGGAAAAACGCATTTGGAAAACGTGCCCCCGCATCCAACGGAATTCAGTTGTCCGATAATTTAGTAGTTGTGAAGTGCGACTACTCGAGGTCATCAAGACGTAATTTTCTGAGGTTTCCCCAGGAGAACAGGTTTTTATTATCTTACTCAGCCCCTTCAGTGTCTGCCGCGTGTTTGCATGGATCCTGCGCAATCGCCCTGATGACGGAGGCAGTATGACCTCTGAAACGTTGGTAAACATCTACCAGACTACACGGCGCAACAACCCAGAAGACAAATCTTCATACTCACCGCTGTGAAAACCTTAAATCATACATAGGTTATATTTGTTAGTTTGTTTGTTCGGAATTGATTCTAAGTTACTATGAAATTTAAAGACCAAAAAACAAATTCAGAAACCCTTTTATGAAACTTAATACTAACATCGCACCACCAGACACCGAATTCTGTGTTTTTAAACTACCAATCATTAATAATACAAATATGGCGGTAACGCGAACGTTAGAAGTAGCGGAGACTGGCAATAGATCGCATAGGCACAAAGTTATATGAGTCATTTTTATCTGCGGAACAAATATCAGATATGGCTACGGAACAAAATTTTATGCGGTGGAAATTCTATTATCGACGGAAGACTAGCTGGGTGCCAGACCCTTCAGCCGCAGGAACGGAATGTGCAGCCCTTCGTAACTTCCGCTCACCCAACGATGCGAAGCAGCTAAACCGGTAATATGCAAATCCTTTTTGCTACTAACCTTTCAGCCGGCAAAGAAGTCGGACGACCTGGCGGCTGGCAGCTCATAGGACAGAGTGACGTTCGGCCTGATAACGCTGTCGTATAAACTTGGCTGAAGCTCGATAAGACCGAATAAACATTTGTTGCATGATAGCCGATTAAGTCCTCAGACACCGGTAAAATCCTGTTGGCAGTGACTTACAGGCAAAGTATCGTAGCCACAGTGGTTTTTTTCTCCCGCTGTTAATGTGCCCTCCGTCTGGGTTTGAGGGCCTGGTGGATATCCGCAGCACTGTAGCCATTTTGTCTGAAAGTCTTCTTGAGATGCCGGGATCTCCATTGATATCTCCCAAGTCTTGATCTGTCAGATGAGTGTGTAGAGAACAGGATGCCTTTGCGATAGGTGACGATAAGAACCACCTCAGGGGCTCACATGTGAGTACGGGACGTGGCTTACCCCGGACATCCGAGCTACACAGTGTCCGGGGGTATGGCCGATCCACCTGACTCCAGGGGATATGAATTTAAGGTTGGGGGTTGGGCTATAGGCTGACAACCTATCCGTGTAAAAGAAACATTGTAAGGAAATCGCAGAAAATCACGGAAGCCAAGACCCGATCTGGGTTGTAATGCACTTGATGATGATGGTGACGATTATGATGAAGGTAAGAACTGGCACAGAGATATAGATCTGTATGTGAGTTTTATCTGAACTGTATGTTCCAGCAAGCCATTGGGTTTTCCCTTATCCGACACATCAAGCTAGTGGGTTATCCACTTCTGTTTTCATCGTGGAGCTGTTGCTTTAGTGGATTCTGTTGATGTGTTTCTGGAGCTAATCTAGTTGTTTCTTACCATGGGGCCAGACTGCAAAGATGTCACGACACACCTGCACCAGTAGGCAGGTTTTACTGGAGCTGTACCTAACCTAACCTAACCTAACCTAACCTGTTTCTCAGCACCTTCCATGTAGAAATTGACCATAAATGGAACAAGTGGTGACACCACAGTGATTCCACCTGTCTGGCCACAGAATTTCCCGTTGTAGAAGGAGGTTGATGTGAGAACTTGTCAGAACAGATCATTGGTCCTGGCTTCAAAACGGTGTCCCCTTAATTGTAGGGTAGCCTTTAATTGGACCTTGGTGAACAGAGAGACATTGAAACTGATTAGGATGTCAGTTGATGTGCAGTTTCTGGATGATTGTTGTGTTCAGAGAGCAGCACTGTTGGACTCAGCATCCCTGCTGTGTGTTTGGGCAGGCAGAATGTAAGTGAACTGAAGTGAAATCAAGGGGGTTACAGTCAGAATGCACCCTGGTCTACTCCTGTTCTGCTATGCTATACGGGGACCGGTGTGAGTCAGTCTCTGGCCCATGGTCCCACGTTTAAGGTATATTCAATTCTTTTTAATTGGGTGGGTCTTTTCATGGCTTAGAAAGTGGGCAGAAGACCGTCACACGTTCCCGAGACTACTTTAGTGATCCATCATTCTTTTCTGTGTGTGATTAATTTGTGTTTTTGTATATATATACATTACATCTGTTTGATTTGTATAAATGATAGTTTTTAAAGGGCGTGGGCCTGTGTGTGTTCCAATATAGACATTTGGTAAGGAAACCTCTTCAACAATTTGTCCTCTAACCTCTGCCTCGAAGACGGCTCTGGGAGTCACCAACCCCCGATCTAATGGATACCGGGGTCGTCTGCCGAGTGTAAACTTTGACGGGGCGTGCCGCTAACCACTCACCCCCATCTACTGCCAAGGTTGACATCGAGTAGGAGCTACATCTCCTCTTCCCCAAAAACTACATTGGACTTTGCATAGCGTGTAAGCATCGCTTTTTAATTCTAATGTATACTCGAAAATGTTTGGATAGATAAATAAACACATATGCATCGCACGCGACTTACGTTGGTTTATTACACTAACTCTTAACATGAGGTTATAAATGCTCATGGTACTCATGTCATTTTCATTTATAAAAATAGTATTTTCTGTAAGAGAAACTCAATTTTGAGTTGCATATTATCTCCTAAAGCATGTAGTACAAATGTAATGGGCCTCTAACTTGATTTTACTATAAGTTTAAACTGCTTCATCACGACAAAAAATTACATCTCGCGTTTTCAGATAATGAAAAGTACGATACTAAAACTCGTAATATAAATTTTATGATAGATCAGAGAAATACTTAGAGAAAATGAAAATTATGAATCTAGAGTAATATTAAGTAAGAATTTGTTGGTTTAGGATATAAAACCGGAGACAATAGTTTCTCATATACAGTTTTTGGTTAGAGCATTAATACAGTTGAGACCAAGTCGGGAAGGGCTGTTATAAAGAAATGTACGATTCAAACAAAAGTCTGATTTCAAGTTCGATACAAGATTAAATATTTTCAGTGGATGCAATTACAATTATATTTTAAAACAACCAACGTGTATCAGTTTTATATACAAATTCGTGCTGGAAATATTTGTGCTTGTGCCAAATGCTCTCTCTCTATTTTAGATATTGCTTGCTTAAGGTGGAGACAGGTACAAGTCTACGTTCTGTGACATTCCCATACTCTGTGTGTGGATGATAGTCGGTATGAATGTGTGTAGTGATTCTAAATTCGTTACTGGCTGATCAATAGAATGAATTATCTTTTCATATCACACTTTATAATATGGAGGGGGGAATTTGTATTTGCAGTTTGATTGTATTATCTGAAATAGACAAGAATCTTGTATGATACGTTATGTACATGAAATTACATTCCATTAACCTAGGTTTTATTGCTTTCGGTTAGCTAATGTTTCAGTGCATTTTTTTAAAGCACGAGAGGTTTGACAGGATTGTATTACGATTGACAAGGATGAGCTGGGTTTTGGACTAGATCATATTACAAACAAAATGCACCATTTGAACCCATTTATGTTGTATAGAGTTGGTGGAGCCATTGGTTAAGTAATTAAAAAGTAACTAACTAACCAAACAATTATTCAAACGAATGTTGACAGAATTATGTATTTTATGGAAGTAAAATATCATTTATCCTGTTGTTCGCAAAGAGTATGTGGTACTGGGCATCGTATTATTTTAAACTCAGCAGTTCGAATCCTTCCTGGTTTTCCACAAGTCTGTCTAGTCAACATTCCAATCACATAACTTTCAATTGTTTGGCTTTGTAACACAACACAAATCCTGCTCTGCGTGATGCAAACTGACCTAGGGCCTTAGTCGACTGTGTAGCCGCCCGCGAGGGAGGTTGAAAGCCGATCAGAATTCAGAAGATATAATAGATGGCCGAGGGCCATCCTCGGGTAGCAGCCAGGTAAAGGATCTTCAACAAATGGGCTGTCTCGGGAAGTTGAGATCACAGAGCCAGGAAATGGATATCGTGCACATCGAGGCACGCGGTCATCAAGTTCGCTAGACTTTTGGCCTCCTTCGCCATCTTTAACGTCGTCGATCCCCGCCCGACGACGGAGCCCAGCGGTCACCCTCCACAGAGGACTGCGACGCTCAGTGGCGATCACTCGCCGACGATCTACTGGTCGCCCCCAAAAATTCACCCTTAGCAGGTCCCGCATTGTTAAAGCTGGCTTACAAGGGAGTGGTCCGGTTGGTCATGTCGAAACCTCAACTGAAATTTTGCTCGTCTGCAGAGTCCATCTAGTAATGATTGTACACAAAATTTCAGCTGCTGATACGCTGTGCAAGGGTGCAAAAAGATTGGAATATGTATATAAAATTCGCGCATACATCTGACGGCATTGCCCCTAGCAGTGACACGGAATTCACCGATACCATACAACGGAGAGCGTGGGCTAGGCGATACTAACCCGGCACATTTGTCGCAAGAGATATTCAGTAATGTCCGGTGTGAGAAATGTGGTCCAACTCAGCCCTAAAACTAGATGTGTTAGTCTCTCTTGACATATATTAGTTTTATTAGTAGAATTTGTGGTTCTCACGGTGGTAACTATGAATGTGGCTGTCTTCTGGGTTGCAGTCGTAACGCTACACCCCAGAACCGTCATAGTCTTACGTTGGTAACGCCGTCAGATATGAAATGGCGGCGTATGCTGAGTCGGAAAAGGAGGGAAGCAGCTGTTTTTCAAGAAGAATTGATAATGGTGGCAAGACTAAAGTAATTACACTCAAGAGTCTATTGTAAGGATAATATTATATTGTACTGTCTTAATCACAGTAAGCAAATTTTTATATAAATTACAACAGTGGTAGTGTAGTAATCTGTGTGTTATGTGGAGTATTGGCTTTTGTTATTCGATAACTTTACACTGTTCACTTTCTATACATCAACATCATCAGGTTCAGTTGCTTTTTCTTTACTGTATTGTATTTTCTCCTCTCGATGTCAAGAAATGACGAAAAATGAATATGTTAAAACTTTTTGAATTGGTTAAAAGTTTCTGCTAAAAGTTTTTTAAAAATGTTTTTGCTGAGATTGGTCAGTGCTGGTGTATTTTTGATCTGTAAACAGAAAGTTTTTATACATATGTGTGTATATGATGTGTAGTAGTAAGAGTGTTGCATTATCTGAGTTGTTTGTGTTGTGGTGCTTTGTTCCAGAATGATGTGAGGTATGATGCATCTGTCTGTTTTATTAGCAAAATTTCTGAACAGTATGGAAAAATGCTGCACACACAACACAGTAAACCGCCTTCACTCCTAATAAGATAGATGCATCATTGTACAATGACTAACCACAACTCAGGTAAGGTAATACTCGACTACTGCACATCATATACACATATGTACATATCACATTTACTAATTTAAACATTTCTGTTTACAGATCAAAAACACAATGGACTTGAAAATTGCTGTCTTCTGGGTTATAGATGCATGTAGTCTGGTGGAAGATTACCAATGTTTCAGAGGTCCTTGCTCCCTGCATGATCAGTATTCATCATCACTGCACTAAGTAAGTGGAAACGTTTTAACTTAATATTCTATCATTATTTTTTGACATCAGAAGGAGACAATATGATCACCAGTGCAATGACATATTTATTTATAGTTTATTCAGTGATGCAGTTTCTGTAGCTCATACTATGTAACATTGAATGAGAGGATGACAATGAATAATGAATTGTAAATGAAGGAAACATTGACCTGGAATTAAGAAAAATTTTTCTGAAGTTATATATTTGGAGCACACATTTTGAGATACCTAGGATTGGTTAATTTGGTAATGGAAGGAACAATTGAAGAGGTCACAAAGATTGGAATATGTGACGCAGATTTTTGAGGATTTAGGCTGTAAAAAATATGTGGAAATGAAGAGACTGACGCAAGATAGACGAAAATTGAGGACCGCATCAAAGCAGTCAGAAGACTGATGCCAAAGAGAGAGAAGTGAAGGAAGCGGTCATGGCATAATTTAAGTTACTATCACAGCATTTACCTGGAAGGACTGAGGAAAACTGCAAACACTTCTGTCAGGATAGCCAGTCTAACCACTCAACCATGACATTTGGTAGCAATGACATAAAAGCAGGGATTTGAATGTAATGGTGGCCACAGACTGAAACATGTTCTAGTGAATGGACAATGAGCTGAGTGTGCAAGTGACAAGCAAGAAAAACCAAGAATTAGCGTAGAGGGTTATGTAAGTTCCAACAGTTTTTTTTACCACAGAGCTTATGTTACCTGAAAACAAAGACTGTCTGAATGAGATGTTGCACCCATTTGTTTTATGGAATAAATATTGGACAATTTTGCAAACAAACTGTAAAATGGGTTTGTATGCTGAGTGACAATACAGTATCATGCACTTCTCTTGTAAGCAGCTGTTAGATGGTTCGATAGTTCATATTCATTGTGTTCAAAACTGTTTGCGGTTACACACAGTGTTATTCCCAACCCACGTGAGAATGAAAGTCGGTAAAATCAGTGGCAGTGACCCAGACTATGAGCAGAGGCGTGTTTCTGACTTTTCTGACTTTACTGATTCAGGTGGTATTGTTAGTTTAAAAGAGTTACAAGTATCTTCTACTGATGATAACAGTTTGGAAGGAATTGTGATACTCCTCTTGCTACAGTAAGCAAGCATACACTCTGTTCAAACAGATGACAATTTTCAAGCCAGAAAACTAATCCATTATTCATGTAAAAATTTAAATGAGTGCTTATCAGAATTAGAGACATTCCTCAGAGTGTTTCCCAGTAGTTTATGTTCATATCACAGTGCGCTAATGAATGGTTGGACGTCATGGAGGAGTCTACTAGAAAGAAGAAATTATATGAACAGATCCTTGGAAAATAAAACGGATTGTTCGCTGATCATGTGCCACACCATGTCCCCGAACATTCACTCTACTGGTCAAAGAATGGGGAACATAACAATGAAACAGTGTCACGAGATATATTTTCTCCAAATTTTACTTCAAGGACCCAAAACAGCTGCAATTTATCAGCAGAATCTGTTAAATTGAATAAGTAACCTCAGTTGTTTGGAGAGTATGTACCAGACAAGTGGATTAGGTAGGTGAGGGATGAAAATGTGGGAAAGGTGTGATTCAGTTACTGGATGCACATATGATATGAGCGTGTACTCTGGAGAGCAAACAACAGTTATTGAAGGTACTGTCGGAGAACGAGTTGTAATCAAAGTACTTTAAACTGTATCTGAACCAGATGTTCCACTTTGCTTTGGCAGATTTTAAAACAACCAGTGTGCTTGACACATATCCTTATGCAGCTGTTAGAATCTGCATGAGAACAAGGACAAATGTTTCAGAGTTTCCTGAAATTTATAAAAGAGAACACTTTATGTTCTTAGTAAATGAATCAGGTACAGTGGCCATGAAATGGTAAGGTACTAAGGAAGTAATTGTTATAAGTAACTGCCACACAAGTGATTTAGAAATAGCAAAGTGCAAGTTGAGGGATGGCAGCAAAATACCTTGTCCAAAGGCAGTTTTGTTTAACAGTGACTGTATGGGAGGTTTGGATGTAGGTGATCACATGACAGAAAATTTGCTAAATGTTGGAAGAAAGTATTTTACAGATTTCTCATGCCATCAGTTGTAAATGCATGAATGGGTTCTGTCTGCAGAGATAAGATGAGAAGGGAGGCTACTACTTTAGTTTCTTGTTGTTGTGACTTAGAGCTTTGTAGATTGTGGAAGAAATGGAATGCCACTAAAATGGCATGAATCCACTGGTTAGTCTTCAGAGGGCTCTGCAACAATATGCAAAGTTTGTGACCATCTCCCTGTATAAGGTAACACAGGGAGATGCTTTGACTGCTCTCAGTATAAGGAAGCACGCACATTAATCTAGGCGAAGTTGAAAAGGTGATAACTACACATTTTAAATTAGTCACTGGTGTATGTTTTTGTATAAAAATTAATTTAAATGAACAGTTTAGTTCTTGCAGTTGGTATAGTTTAATTTTCAGGATTTAATATTGTTCTGCTGTTGTTTGTCTTAATGAGTCAACAGGATAATTAATTCTCTACTGTAAAGTAAGATGTCACAATTAAAATTTAGGCCTTTTTTATTTCTTGTTATAAAACCATTAGAATGAGATTTATTGGTAGTTCATTTATTGAAATCACCATTTTAAGATGCAATAAAGTAGTCTCACATATCTTTGGAATAACAGAACAGAATGACTGAATGTAGTGGTTATCCTTTGAGTTCAGAATAAATTATAATTTTTCAAATTCAAACATAGGACATTTATGTTTGTTTTATGAGGTGTGACAATTAAGTTCCTGAAGTGCCCTGTAAAAACTGTGTTTAATTACTCGCAAACTAATGGTCGCTGTCACTTCTGAAGTAGTCTTCCTGCATATCATTACACTTTGTGAACCGGTTTATCCACTGCTCAAAGCATATCTGGAACTCTTTTCGAATGCGTTTTAGGATGGTCATTGCATGTCCCTGAAAATCTGTGGCTCTTCAAAGGAGTCTTCAGTTTTGGGAGTAACCAAATGTGGTGAATATGGTGGATGGTCCAGTTTCAGTATCAATTTTTGGCCACAAACTCCTGGACAGCAAGTGTATCATGAGCAGGTGCATTGTCATGATGTATAACCTCATCAATATTACAAAATAACAGTGCTGGATTACTGCTTGGCCTTGTTGAGCAAACTCATAGTGAGCAGTGCTGTTATGATCAATACAGAAGAGGAAAACAAACAAGCATTGTCTTCATATGACCCTCCTTAAAACTTTGTCACTCACAGACACTCAACATTTTCATTCAGTGTGACATTTATGCAGTCATTGCACGAACATAACTGTCATTCCTCAGAAGGAAAGCCTTGTCCTGAACTGCTTGAGACACATCATTCACACACACACTTTTAATGATAATGTATAGTAATTAATGTAGTCTACTCTGTAATACATGGAGGATAGCCAAAAAGCCCTTATATTGTGGATTCAAAGAACCTAAAATATAAATGAAAAATTTGAAATACTTTGAAACAACATTCACACTTAATGTGCGGTGCAAGCGTTGTTATTACTGAGAACTGTGATGTGTATGAACAACTGTTTGTCCATACAAATTAAGAATTTTCATAAGTGATAAACCAGATTTTATGAAATCTGATTTTGGAGAATTTCATGAACAATAGTCAAGTCGTTCCAGTTTTTATTGATATTGGACAGTTTTAATGACCACTGCATACAGAAGCATAAGAATTTCTTCATGTAATCTAATCACATTAGATAAAATAGAAATAAATGCTCCAGTTGTTCCAGTAGGAAGTCATAATATTCTCATATGAAATTGAAATTATGGTTTTGTGTGTTAAGTTCGTTAATGGGTAGGACCCCCCATATATACCTGGCCTGTAAGCAAGGCAGCTTTATGTTTACTTTACTTACCAGTTAACCTGATTTAAATTGTTTATAATTTTCCTCAATTTCTGTATTCAAACATGCTAGTAGTACCTTTATCGATGCTGTGGCAACTTCGTACGTGATACTCTATCCATCTCATTCTACATATAACCTCAGCATCATAAAATAATCTTATCACTCAATAAGTTAATCTCCATTAGTTTTGCTGGAAGGTAGTGTCTGCGTATGAAAGAACAGAACGTACCAGTCCTCCAGTACATTATAATTATTATGCCCCATTTATAAAGGTATAGAACTTCATTTACACATGGCATTCCTTAATAGTGAATACCCTACCCTTAATCACAGCTTCAGACTTTGAAGCATTCTCTTAATATTGCTGTAGGAATTAATACAGTCAGCAAAAGAGACTGCCAAACCAATAAACTAAATTAAATGACCTTCTGGCAAGAGTATGTCACAAGTATCACAAACAGAGAAGTGAAATGTTGGAATGCTTCTCTTCTCACTGGGCAGTGGAGTCAAGTTTGGAGTTGCTGTTTAGAAGCTTGTCAGGTACATTGCTCTTAACATTTTTTATTGTGTATTACTTGAATACAGTGTCATGAGATCTGTATGTATATAATGTAAGTAATGTTGGTTTAAGCTTGATTTTTTGGTGAGCGTTTGCAGCTGAAAAGGGATTTTAGTTCTTATTTGATAAATTTATGAATATGTGTTATTACCATTTCCATGGTTCAGTGACCAGTTGCTAAGGGATTTTTCTCATTATGGCATAGTAGTGTTTTAACTATTGCCACAGTAATACTGTTAAGGGAAGTCCACTGTGTACTCATGGTTAGTTCTTACTGTTTACAGGCTGACACATGTCTCTAAATGGGCTGTACTAGATAGAACTGAAAATGAAATTGTTAAAACCTCTGCAGAAAAATGTTGTGCTGTAAGTTCAGTTCACCTGTAGTTATAACTTTGTGACCTATATGGCCTAGTGTGATAAATACCGTGCATTAGTGAATGTTGTGACAGTAAAGTGGGTTGCATTTTTTGCCAGTTAAAGATCGACAAAAAATAAAGAAAATAAACAACTATATTTTTTAAATGATTAATTGTACAATCCATACTTTATTATATGTTGTATATATTTGTTTTCAATTGAAGAAATGTAAAAATAAAGTTTTAAACGTTCAGATATGCTACTGACAGACTTTACAGGACCAGTATTTTCAGAAAACTTGATTTTTTTAGGATTTAATATTCTTGATGGCAGCGAGTAAAATGATGATCACGTTCAGGGTTGTAGTCTGGTATAAAGGCCACAAATATCCTGTGTGGGTCTGGTCTGAACATATGAAGGAATGAAGTAGACCAGTAGAAGCCGCAGTGTTTCAAGTTTTAGTACGAAAGTTAATTTGATTTCACTGCAATGGATCACAAGTCAATAAATTTTTTTTTTTGACCTGCACTTAACAAGAGTGTACTTGGGATTTTGGCAATGCAAACATTTGAATGCTGCAAGAATGTACAGGGGCCTTCAGTAATTAGTGTGGATATAGGGACTCAGGTGTGCAAAGTCAAGTAACTAAAATATAAATTAATAAATATACTGCTTTGATATTTATTTATGAATAAACTTTGTAATATAATAAAAAATCTCACCAGAAATTTAAGTATTAAATTAAAATTTCAATGGACAGTTGGACTTTGAAATCAAATACTTTAATGGTTGCTTGCTGTCCCACTATACGCCATGTAGGCGCTTGAGGGGAGTGGAGGTATAGCTCCTACTCTTTCTTGACCTTGGCACTAGATGGGGGTGAGTGGTCAGCGTCACGCCCCGGCCGTACTTTACCCCCGGGAAAGGACCCCAGTACCCATTGGATAGGAGACTGGGTGGGCCCCAGAAACGGGTAACACAAATTTAGGCATTGAACTCTGTCATGTCAGATACAGCATGAGCAGGAATTATCAATTTAACTTTCTAAACAGAAGTGGAATTTTTTATGCTACTGCAGGGTATCTGGCAGACTGTATATAGTAAAATTTTCTGGATTGTGCACATTATTGTTTTACTTTATTTTCACACACATAATTGAATCTGCATTGGAGGAAAGCTTGCTGTACAGGCACTTGCACATCATACTAAATAGATATTGGTGTACAGTATTTGTTTTGTGTTTTATGACATATTTTGTGTCACATAAACTCATATTGGAGTTCTTAAAATAGATCCATAAAAGTCTTGTATTAAGAGAGATCACCTGTCATGCAGAAGTCATCAGTAACATTTTTTGAAATGTTTGTTTTACTGTACAAGCACCTGCCAATTCATTGTGAATCAGATAGTTCAGTCAGATTAGTGACTGGCTACAGGCCAGACAAACGAAGTTCAATCCCCAACAGGGGCAGAGGATTTTCTCCCAGCCTCTGAGTACAGACTGGCTCTAAGGCCCACCCAGGCTCCTGTTTAATGGGTAATGGGGTTCTTTTCTGGGGGTTAAATGGTGCTGGGGATTGGTGCTGACCACTCACCCCCTTCTAGTGTCAAGGTTGAGAATGAGTGGGAGCTATACCTCCTCTCCCCTAAGTGCCAACATTGGCATGTAACCTGATTACTTTACTTTTACCCACCATTTCATCATGATGCTTTCCTTCATGACAAATTAATGAAAAATTCCTTCCAAACAGTTTCATCACTTTATTTTCCTCCCATTGTTTCATACTTTATCAAACATGTTGTAATGCAAAAAAAGTAATGGTAAGGTGTTTACAACAGTTTGGTTGTTACTGTAGCTGGGATCAAACTGAATTTATTGTCTGCATCACTGTCTTGCATGTATAAGGAAAACAAATTCATTTACTACATAATCCAAACACTTCCTGACCCAGGAGGTGAGACAGAGAGCTACAAAGTACTGTTACCAGGAAGTAATGTTAATAGTATGGGCAGTATATGCTTTCTTATTTGCCACCCTTTCCTTACTCATCTGGTTCCCTTGCCTTTTACTTTTAATAGATGTGGAATGCAGAGATTCACCCCGACTACCGTACCAGGTTCAAATCTTGGCCCAGGGATTGACTTTCCTGGTTGAAGTTTCTTATGGTTTTCCTCAGTACATGTGAACAAATGCCAAGATAGTACCTTGTAACCGTCCCTTTTCTTCCACAACACGTCACACTGCTTTTTTTTGGTATAGTCGTAACCTGGTTTGCTCATATGGTTACAGCTTCTTGACGTGGGATATGTAAAGATACAGAAAGGGATTGTTGATGATGGTGTGAGGTTGTCGGTGAGCACGAGTTTCCGACTCCCCGGGAATTAGAAGGTGGAGCAGGTTTTCTGCACAAATGGATAACAGTTTTTCTGTGTTGCACTGATGGACGACTCTTTATTGTTCCTTAATACACGCAGGAACATATATATCTTAAGCACTATTCACGGAGGCAGCTAGATGGCTCGGCTGTTCCTTTGTTCTTTCGTATGTTTGCTAAAGAAAAACACCCCCGCTCAACCGAAGGACCAAAACTTTAGAGCGCGCCCCGTAACCACGATCGCGCTTAAATACCCCTGCATTACGTAATTTGTTATTGAATTTGGCTTAAAAGCTGCGACCTGATTCGTTCCTCCACAACGGCGGGAACGCGCCTATAAGCTGAGCTCAAAGTCAATTGGTCCATCGCAAGGATGCGATGGTCGTAATGCTGTGATCACCCCGCATCTGGAAGGGATGAACACCATGTGTGGGGTGGCTTAAGTATTTTCTTTGTTGGTTTATGTTTGCCCTTTTTTGTTCTACTTCAGGCTCCCTTGGGACAGAAAGAATGCCAAAGAGGGTGACCCGCAAGTGGCCATCTGGGCCACATTCCTTCAACTCAATGTGTTTAACAAAGCCAAAATTAAGCATTCAGTCTAATTTAGGTGAAGTAAGGCGTTCCAGAAATCATGTAATTACACCTTC